TGTTTCCCGGGCTCTGCTGCCCCTCCTACGGGCCCGGGACGGCTTCTCTGGTGTCGGGGGGAAGCTGGGGAGGAGATCGGCGAACATTCATTCACAGATCCCCTCCCTGTACTATGGGACCAGGATCGATGCAGATTGCTTCACTTCCAGTCCCATAGCAGTCAGTGCTGGGCTCCTGAAGCAATCTGCACTTCAATACCTTATTTCAAGTGTAAAGGTGATACTAGGGGTCTTTTGGAACCCAGCATCACCTTAAAGAGTACCTCTGACTGCCAATCTGCTATCACATGGGGGGCTTGTGGTGTAATAGCAATTAAAGTAAAGTTAAAAAAAAACAAAAAACTGTTTTTAAAATGTAATATTAAATTAAATAAATGTAAAAATAATAACAATTTTAACGTCCCCTCCCTCCCGCGAACATGCGCGTCTTTACGTAAACACGCTTCGTGTGCGCCTACGCATGAAAATGACGATTGCGAAACACATGTTGGGTATCACCACACACGCCAGAGTGAGAGCAATAATTCTGGGGCCAATATTTACGCGTATCTCTAAATTGATGACCTGTGGGGGCTTTTAAAGCGTCATCTATGGACGTTTTGGGGTACTGAATTTTGTCACAGTTTTACGGACGCACACAATTTTTACCTGGGCATGTAACCTCATCTTTTATATTTTATTTAAAAAATGGGTATTTAAATGTGTTTTGGGGCATTTAAGTGCATTTGTCCCTAAATTTTGGGGCTTGATAATACGTTGCGCTAATATCGTGCAACATAAAAATTTGCAACAGCCACCATTTTGTTCTATAGGGTCTTGCCTTTCAGAAAATATATAATGTGTGGGGGTTTGAAGTAATCTTTAGGCCTAAAATGTGGATTATAACATGGGTAAAAAAATGAAAAAAAGGCCTCGGTCACTAAGGGGTTAAAAGTATTGTCTCAATTAGTAAGGGTGGTACTGGAGTTATGGGGCCAAGTGGTCCATAAGTTTAATATATCTACTTATATAGGACCAATGACACCTGTTATGGCAAATTCAAAGTTTAACCTGGGTTTGAATACCCAAACATTTCTAAAAAGGCAAGCGGGTAAGCCTTCGGTGATTTTACAAGCAGTAGATAGAGAGAAGATACGCCCACTAATACAGTTGCTCCAGGATCTGCCTTATAGGCCAGGCATGTGGCATTCCTGCCAATAACTTAAGCAATTCTATTCTCAAATTAAATCGCAAGGGGCAATCCATAGGAAACCTCGACCATTTAAAGATATGTGTATTAATACATTTAAGGGTAAGCGTAATATATAAAAAATATTTATCTGTATCAGATAAATGTTGGAGATGTGGGCGTGGAGTTGGAACCATGTTATATATATGGTGGTCTTGTCCACGACTCAAAACATACTTGCAATCAATCTGCACCCGTAAGTAGTAAGCTTACGGGTGCAGAGTGGCCAGAGACCCCAGAGGTTGCATTACTGTTTATTTACTTGGGCCCAATTAAAAAGATAGGTTAATTGGTTTTCTGTTTGCAGCAGGTAGAGCAGTGATCCCCAGATATGGACAGAACATGTTCCCGACATTATGGAGTGGACTTGGGAGAGGAATTTCTTTATGAGAATGGAAAAACTAATGTCACGTCCATATGAAAGACATACAGATATCTTGATGGATTGAGTATATGTTGGGAGATAAGAAGTAACTGGTAATTGGAGGCTCTGCTGGGAATTTTTTTTTGTGTGTTTGTGGTTTGATGTATGCGTGGGGTGAGGGTTGGAATAAGTTACGGTGACATTAAAGTAAAAAATGTTTTCCCTCCCCCCAATGTTAGTGTAAGGACTTACCTTAAGTTATGTCTTTTAATCCAATCTTCTTCTTCTTTCCTGTCCTTTTCAGCTGTCCCTCCAGTACTGGTGCGGGTCTCCGATTCAACGCTGACTCCTATGTCCTCCTCTTCTCTGATGTCCCACGATGTCTGTGCGGGTGCACGCTGCTCCATAGACTTACCTTGTGTCTCTCCTCGTCTCCTGGCCGAACATCCGAACTGCGCATGCGTCCGCCCCAAGATCCTTTACGGCCGCCTGAGACTCTTCAGATGTTCGGATGGGAGCGTGTGGCGAAGACACAGGTAAGTTTAAACCTGTTAAAAAGGTTGTTTTTTAAAAAAGGTTTTTGCATATATCTACTGCTCGCTGCTGCTGCTGCAAAAAAAAAAAAAACGGAGGGTTTAATAACCCTTTAGGTGATATTCTAAGAGAATCTGAAAATGCACATAGTCCTGATTGTTTGAGTTAATGATGGTTTGGATAATTTAGAGAAATAAAGTTTATGTAATTGGGGACGTGCTTTGTTGTATTT